TTTTTGCAAGTTTGATAATTTTCTTGTTTTTATTTTTATAAATCTACACCGATTTCCACACCGACCATTATCATAAATGGACTCCCAAGGAATTGGTGCGTCTTCATTTAGTTTTGACAGTGATTTTTTCACGTACTCCCAATTACGATCAGTGATTATGATGGCAGTGGTGTTGGTGGTGGAGTTGCTTTTGCTGTTGCTGTTGCTGTTGCTGTTGCTGTTGCTGTTGCTGTTGCTGTTGCTGTTGCTGTCAATGTTGGCAGTATCGGTATTGGTATTATTGTCAGTGGAGTTATCTAAAATTTCTTCATACTTTCGCTTGTATGATTGAGGAATAAGTCTACCATTTTCAAGAATACTTTTTGTTCTACTCCACATCGTTTCATCAGGTATTTCTTCTGATAAGGCCGATATTGCTTTTGTCATAATATTCTCTGTTTCTTCGCATACGTGTAAGATGTCTTTTACTTGATTGACACCTTGAGTTACTTGCTCTTGAAATACACGCGAAGCAATTGAATACAGTCGAATATAGACAATTGTGAGAGGAAACATGAAGCCGTACCTTACATCCCAAAAATCACACCATATCATATACCCAAAGTGATATCAAACTTGGTAAAACAACTCTTCTGTCCTTCTTTTATTCATGACTAAACGTACAGCTAGAAGCAATAGTGTTCCACTTCACAGTCGGATGGTAGAATCGGTCGAAAAAGGGTTTGCCAAAAGCGAAGGGTGCTGACCAATAAGAAAGTTAGACGAAGCAACAAAAGGAGTCAGAGGCAACTTCGAGCTTGATTGCAATGAGCTTTCGCTCACAAAGTAACAGGCTTGTGCCCAAGGGTGGCAAGGATAACGTAACAAAAAAGGCAGTTTTTTGTTTTGTCTGACTTTTTTTGAAACTTCGTACTTCATGGAAGAAATAACAAAGGTGATGATGATGGGGTGGGCTTTTTTATGTTGACGGTAAACAGAAATGGAGTAATCCATAAGCCTCAAAATAAAATCGTCATCAACCGTATGTTGTACTTCAATCAGTACAGGAGGAAACCATCAGCAACACCGGTAACATTAACCACCGCCCAACAATACCGCCACCAAGCATTAAATCATCACCAAGTTTTCGTTGCTTGATTTAGGCAGATATAAAATATCTGAAATAGTTCGGTTTGGCCATTCAGTTGGCCAAGGTGAGTATTGGTCTTTTGAATTTGAGCCAAGTAAGGTTTCAACAACTATATTGACTATAGTAGAATCCAATAAGACGTGTTTCGACATCAAGTCAGTACCAGGTCGATGACGATGTGGTAGCTGTAGAGTTAAAAGTTCAGCCAGTGGACGCTCCATTTTATTCTTCTGTTTGATACCAACTAAAGTGAAAAAAGAGTGTTACTGTCATGAACCACTTACTTTGCACTTTGCCCCTTACCATAAATCCCCGACTACTAGAATGTTGTTGAATCTCAGCATGAGATTCAACAACATCAGTGTTCAGAACCTTTCAGGACCTTCCAAGGCTATCCATGCAATGAACCACCGCTTCCAAGAGATTAGTAATCACGACTCGTTTCCAAGTATCTCCGACGCCAAGCCATTAGTAATCATGAATCATGGGTTTCGGCCACGTAAGCTGAAACCAACACTAAGACTAATTAAGTAGAAAGACATTCTTAAATGCAAACTGTCAGGAACGTGGCTAGGATTATATTATAGCAATAATATCAGAAGATACCTACCAGTTATACAAAGGCAAGAGGAGAATGGTTTAAGAAGTATTTAATAATATTAATTGATTATGCAAGGAAGGGGAAGGAATACAAGCAATACATGATAATCGACATGGAACGGGGAAGGCGATGGAAAGGGGGAGTATTTATATCTTTTCAGATAACATAGGTTTGCATTTAAGAATATCTTGGCTTACTTAATTAGTCTTAGTGTTGATTTCAGCTTACGTGGCCGAAACCCATGAGTCATGATTACTAATTGCTTGGCGTCGGAGATGTGATGATCTGACTTACTTCTTGATAAGAACCGTAATAAAAATAACATCAGATACACTTACATCATACATCTAGCACTAAAATATTAATATCTCAGCATCAATACTTTATAAAGCAAATACACTTCCCTAGTCTATATACCTCTTTGACTAAAATAGTGTAAGAAGACACTGCATCTATAAATATAATACAGTTGGATTTGTGAGCATGAAAGTTTAAATTAATTCTGCTACGTCATGTTACTATGGTTGCTGTAAAAATTTGGCTTAGTTGGGTTAAGTGTGCAACACTGTATCATTTTCCATGCTAAATGTGTTTGTTGGTTGCACAATTAAATAAAAGTCTAAAGCATTTTAGTTGGAAATATTAGAGCATAAATAAATAAAAAAAAATGGTAAAGGGAAGAAAGGATTAAAATCAAGGTGAAATGCCATCACTAGTCTTTCAAGGACCTTAACTTTAAAGTGACTGCTATCGACATTTTAGCCGAGCGAGCTTCGAACGATGCTCGCTCGAACCCAAAAAAAGTGGCGCAAGCTCGAGTACAAAAACTCGGTTCGAGCTTCGTTCGAACTGGCGCAAGACCGGTGCAAGCTCGAAAAGTTCGAACATTAGCCTGGACTATAGAATATTAATAGATCCTGAGCACAAATATTACTCTTGTCATTTGTTGATGTTATAACTGTTGATCCCTCTGACTAATATTTATATACTCAGTATGGAAGGGCTAAATTTAAAGACATGTTGATTATTTACAATCACCAGATCATTACATCATGATCCAATAAGGCGCTCAATATTCTCCCTTAGAACTATCCCAGTTCTTTATATAAATATTCATAGTTTTTCTCATAGACCATCAATACATTTTGAATACATTTTTAGAACACGTTTTTTAATTATATTTTTTTCGTCCATAATAAAGTGGTAGCCAAGTTCTAACAGTATCAATTTTGGTTTATTTTTAATTTTGTTCTCCATGCAAAACAGAGACTCTTCGCTTGATACACGTTACACAGCATTGTTTGGTTGTTGATAGAGGTAAATTGTGGAACAACTAATTCCCACCAGTGTGATTATATGGAATTATGTCCTTATTGGATCATCTCCGATAGTTCTACTCTAGGTGTGTCATTATGTTATCCTCAACATATACAAGAACTTATCAAAAGTTCGTTAATTAAAAAAAAGAAAGCTGTTTGATAGTTATAGAATTTGTTTACGTTAGAATAAGTTCAGCTCACCTTTTAAGGACCGCTTAAAATGGCGCATCCTTATGATAGTATAAGGAAAAATGTGTAGAATAAGTAATTCCATCCTTCCTTCTAATTCGGTACCACCTCTTCGCAAGATTAAGAGGGAAATGTCTAGAACTCCGTATTTTTTTCAAACGTATTTTTTAGAATCCCACGATGGTCTACACGTCGATTTACATGCCATATCGTCTAAACTTCATGGGATGAACGATTCCTGTTTTCCATAAAATCTGCTTCACTGTCATTACAAGCTACTACTGGAACGCAGATAGACAATGACCAAGCTCTGGCTTGCTTGGGAGGTTTTTGCAAGTGTTTCTATTTTAAGTAAAGGCTCAAACATTATGGATGATAAAATAGACAAATGAAATCATCCTGACATAAGCTTGTTTATCAATAAATAAAGCTGGTTCACACACTTTGTTCTTCTCCTTTTCTTTTTCCTTAACATACTTCTTTTATCGTATGAAAGTAACCGATCAAATAAAAAGGTTAGTTTAGTAGTGACACTTGTTTCATTGAAAAGAAGCTAAATTGAAAAAGATATATTGTGATATTGCGGCTGCGACTAGTCTTTGCTATAGAAGGGCGATCTCCTAAGCAGAGTTCTTGAGTTTTTGGAACTTACGAACTGTGGATAGCAGGGTTGCATTTTAAAGAGATGCAAACATACTGGCCTGCTGGTCTTTTGGTCAGAACTCCTGTAAGTGGTATAAAAAAAAATACGCTTGAAAAAGATACGGGGGTCTAGACATTTCCGATTAAGAGTAGTGTTCGAACTTTTCGAGCTTGCACCAATCTTGCGCCAGTTCGAACGAAGATCGAGCCGAGTTTTTGTACTCGAGCTTGTGCCACTTTTTTTTGGGTTCGAGCGAGCTTCGATCTTTATTCTAAACACTAATTAAGAGCAATTTAATATGGAAGCCATCATCAGTAAATATTTGCTAGATACCAAGTCTCCAAACTTTCAAGATTTGGTTGGAAAGAATGAACGAATTATCATTAACTTATACGCTATGACTAACTCAGCGAACACGTTCAAGTTGATGACACTATGGAGCAACAAGCATAATAAAACAGTTAGAAAGACTCGTCCAACGGCGTAACTGCAAAAGAAGTGAGTAGATAGTACAGAATATAAAATTAATTTCACTGATTTTGCTTCTGAATTTACAAGAGAACCACGATTGCCTTTAAGGTTATCTACACCATTATTTGTGCCCAAGTAAGTAATTAAAAAAAGATTCACTTACCCTACAATTAACGTTACAAACGACATAAAGAAAACTGCAGATCAGATTATTGAAGCAGACTCTTACAAGACTTCCACTGCATATGTCCTTAAGACAAACAAAGTCTTGCGTGATTCAACAAATATCAATTCATTAGATAATAATGCCAAACAGCCTTCAGTAATACAGGTTACACAGTGTTAAAAACGCAAATTCGTGATATAACCAATATGCCGGAATAGCATCGTTTTTGTTTAAAAAGAACAATACCGACAAGTTTATTTGACTCACCGTCCAAAGCCAATTATATCAGCTCCTGAAAAACAAATGGTGGGTTTATGTTGCTTGAGTACGTAATTAATGCAGCAATGTATGTCATGTGTTTCCCAAAAGATGCGACATTGTTGAATATTTATGAAATGTTCCAAAGATTTTTGATATCAGTTATCATTAAAGATAAAATCTGAACATTGCTCAATTCATCAGAGCTTGATATACTCACAGAACAATAAGTAGAACGTGCAATAATAAAAAAAAACCAAGATAAAGTTTCTCACAAAAAATACAAACAAAAAAACTTTGGTTGAATTATTTTATACCTGATGGATATTGTGTATTTTATAGAGCATACATTTACACTCCATTTTTTTATCTGTAAAAGTAGTTTTTATTGCTTCAAGATTAGCATTAAAGCATAAAAAGAATATGTTATATGTAATAGTATCCTATGATTATTTTTCAGGTTGCACAATAAAGCATATCTGCTTGAGCTAAATAAAATGTACAAATAATGCCTAATACGATTGGACATAGAAAGTAATTTTTAAAGCGAAAACGTCGTTATGATGCATCAAAAATGTCGTGTGACATTATTTCTTCTGTCGTTTCATCATACATGAAAAAAAAAGAGGTGCGATGGGAGTTGTGTACCACTCTCAGCCTTTCAAACAGTTGCATTGACAACTAATCCGACTTAGTGTGACCATGTGTCAGTAAATTTTCTATTGGTATATTGGGCACGTCTTTGTTGCCCTGTATATAAAGTAAAAAAACCGGGTACAAATTCCATCATCTATCATAATGTCTTCTACAAAAAAAAGGACCAAGATTTGCCATTGCAACAAGTGTGGCGGTTGCTCAGTTCCAATCAATACTGCTACACGACATGCCGAAAAAAAAATGTACGAGGAGTCATGCCAAAAGGCGGCAGCTTCCAAAAGAAGTTTGGATGAACTAGAAGAAAGTGTGTAACCCTCATCAGATATTTACCTACAACAAACTGTAATCTATACTAACAGAAATTTTAATAGATGACGCCGTAGTAGACACCAGCTTAGAATTTTCACGTTTGAACGTATCTGTTATTGAAGCAGAGTTTGCACATGTTAATATCAGTTCGACTCAAGTTGATAACCATTTTCAGGATGAATGCTCTTCAGGTATGCATACAAAAAAATGATTTATAACATGATGCTGAGTAATGTTTCAAGATGATGAGCGCGATTATGAAGAAGGCTTTATCTTTGATCAATCCTATAGCATTGATGCAAATGATGATAATG